TTTTGATGGTTTTCCCAGTTTTAAGGTGTTACAAGTCTCAATTTTAGCTCAAGTTATGTTTACCGGGCGTTGGTTCGAGTTTTGTGTTGTTTGTAGTCAAAATCAGGGAATTTGAGCCCGGCACCGGCACTTGAGGAACAATCGGGATAATTTGAGAAGCATTTGAAAATAATTTGATAGCTTTGGAGGTCACCGGAAGATTTACTATGAAGATTTGAAGGAAAAAGAGCTCTAGGATTGGCTACGGAGTCAAAAGAAGATGAATGAAACTTGAAAACGACGATCAGGATGGCCTTCTGTCAATCGGTCAAGCATATCTCCTTGTAGAAACATCCAATGTACACGACTCAAGTTCCATAGGAAAGACAACTTCAAGGTCTACAAATCATATGAAGACACCTTTGCGAGAATCTGAGAGGAAGAAGGTGAAAACAGACAATGAAGTCAGATGATCTCTGCTGCGATTTCAGAAAGACACCTTCCACCGTTTGGATCATATCTCTTGATTGGATGATTAAAATCACATTCTTCAAATTGGGTTGGATAGAGGACTTCATTATCTACAACTTTCATGAAGAAAGTTTTGTCCAATTCAGAAGTTAAGTAGGCACGATCGTTCCCTCAAAGTCAGACACGATCGTGCCTGAAGAGAAAAGAACCGCGGAGTTACTGCCAGCCAGGCACGATTGTGCCTGGAGGGAGGCACGATCGTGCCTGCCCAAAATGCGCGTTTTTGCTCCGGAGGCACGATCGAAGGCAGGATCGTGCCTGGCATCGTGCCTGGCTCCGAAAATCCTAATTCAGCTCAAATTTCACCCGATTTTTCTATTTAAACAGCCTGTAAACCCCCGTTTTCAGGGGGGAGCTTAGAGAGAGTGCCTAGCACGAATTTTAGAGGACTTTTCAGCCTTGTTCATCAATCTTTTGGGATTCTTTGTAAGTTCCACCTTTTTAATTAATGACAATTACTTATATTCTTCCCAATTCTATTGATTTTTCAATTATGAATTGTGAGTAGTTTTAATTAGGGATTTGGGATTGATGAAGGGGTTAATCATGATGTATGGCTAGATTCTTTTCGGTTTAATTGCATGAATGCCGTTTAATTTGTGTTTGAATAATTTAATTGATATCTTTTGTAACCTAGAATCGCGACTAGAATTACAATTGCATGTAGAATAAATTAAGATAGATCTAATTTGTTCTAGGACACATTCACACACACTTAATTGTTCGCTAAGAGATTAGTAGCGATTAAGGGGCCGTAAGCTCGCTCGTCTTGGCAATAATTTAGGATCCTGTCGCATGAGAGATAAGCCTGGTCCCCTAAATTATTGTACTCTACGCCGCGAGAGCAGTAAGAACTTAGTAATGATTAGCTAGGCTCAATTAAATTAATTTCATGTAATTAGGCCTGATCTGCCAGAAATCTGGTTACCCCGGAATCGATCCCTGTTCCCTTCGTCATTAATTAGAAAGAACCCCCTAGTTTAATTGTTCGCATTAGTTTTATTTTCCAAACCAACCAATCTCGCACGACACTTTTATTTTATTTTCTTTTTAATCGCTGAATTTAATTAATTCTTGATTCCCTTTTGTCCGTCCCTGTGGAGACGATACTCGTACTTACACCACTATATTACGGTCTATTTTAAGTGCGAGAAAACACTCATCAACTCGCATTGGAATACCATCCAATGTGCATCAATGAATGTGGGGCTAGTGCTCGAATGATTCGACAAGTATTCGATTCGTTAATAATCATATTTAAATTCATAAAATCATACTAATTATATTTAAATTATATTTATAATTTGAGGCTGTTTGATAGGCTCGAGTTCGAACCGAGCCTAATACTACTATGTTCGAGCTTGGCTCGATTAATCGATCTTTCGAATTAAAAATTCAGCTCGGGTTCGATAAAAGCTCGGTTCGTTAACAGCCCTACACCCACCAGCATATTATTTGTAAGAAGTTGGGTTGTATTGTTATCTATTCATTTTATTTGAGTATTGGCAAAAATTTAGTCGAAAAATGACACTTTCACAATATAAATAATTGTGTACAAAATCAAATCATTGCTAGTCAAAGTTTACGTTTAACCAAAAAATTGCTCAATATATAAAGGGTAAATTGTCAAATGGGTCCTTGTACTTGTCGAGTTGTCTCAGTTCAGTCCCTGAACTAAAAAAGACCTAATTTTCACACAACTTGAACATGAAAAAAAGGATTCAAATTTCATTTTTCCCGAGTCACCCTCTAATGATCACCCGCCACATGAACCGTCAGGTTGCGTGCTGTGCATCTAACTTCGAAAGTGAAAGCTCAAATAAGTCTCTGAACATGCTTAAATATTGATTTTATAAATATACTCTATCTTATTATTGTAAATTTTTCCCCACAAACATTTTCCCCTAGCCTCCATAACCATATGAAAAGAAAACCCCGCACTTGTTTTCTTCAACGGTTTGCATAATGGTTGTGTATGCCTGACGTTGCTGACCTCAATGCAGTTCTCATGCTCTTCACATAACACAATATGATCATATTGCAGTTCGTCGAACATTAGCTTGTTCTGAGTCATGCATGATTGACTTATGTTAGGGAATGACATTGGTGGATAGTCCTTTAAGCTCCTACCATTCATTCTTAACGTTATCTCTATTTCAATCAATGCATAATTCTTACTCTCATCTTCAGTTAATGTTAAATGCTCAAATCTAAAATAAAGGATTGAAAAACAACATTAGTATAAAAAAGATATATATAATATTATTCAAAGGAATTTGAATCATGAAAAGGGTAGAACTATTCTTTAGTATCGGGATGGAGTATAACTCTTCTTTGTTTGTGTAAAATGTCATGTGACATAAATGTCTAAGAACAAAGTTACTCATATTTTGATAAACTCCATAAGTTTTATTCATATCCTGAAAAATTTCCTTAAAATTTATTACTTATAATTTTGACGACATTTTAAGGTGTATTAATCAATTTGAAACTTTACAACTGTTTGAATTAATGAGGCAGAGGCTTAACATAAGAGAGAATGGTGAAAACAGTCTGCGTGACGGAGAGAAGGAGATCGAAGAACAATGAAAGCGAGGAAAGAGATGATGGACCAAGAGGAGTTAAAATATCTGTTCTTTAGGGTGGCCCAATAAACGTCCCTACTGCTGTTGTAGTACTGGTTGACGTGGCCAAACAGTTATGACAAGCCAAAAAAAGATACTAGTAGTACTTATCGATGCTCACGCCCTTGACTAGCTCATTCACAAATAATGTCGCCACCTCGCCTTTTGTCCCTAAACCGTTCTCCATCACGTGGTTGTCGCACAGAACCTTCACGTCCTTGTACGTGTCAATTTTGTTGATATTTCAATTATGAGTTGTGAGTATATTTAATGAGGGATTCAGGATTGATGAAGGGGGTGTTAATCTTGATACAAGGTTAGTTTCTTGAAGGTTTAAATGTATGATTATTTATTTAATTTGTGTTTGAATGAATTAATTGATATCTTTTGTAACCTGGAACAACTGCTAGGATTATAATTGCACATAGAGTAATTTAAGAGAGATCTAAATTATTCTAGGGATTTCTAGGGCACTTTCACATACACCTAATCGTTCACTAAGAGAGTAGTAGGGTTTAGGGATCCGTACACTCGCTCGCTTTGAAAATAATTTAGGAACTTGTCACATGAGAGATCAGCCTGATTCCCTAAATTATTCTACTTTACGCCGCGAGAGAAGTAAAAACTTAGTATTTACGCGCGTTGCTCAGTTATATTAATTTCATGTATTTAAGCCCGATCAGCCTCGAAATTTTGTTGTCCTAAAAAGCAATCCTTGTTCATTTCCGTCGTTAATTAGAAAGAGTCTTTTATTTTAGTTTATTTTCGTATTAATTAATTTCTCAAATATCAAATCTCGCACATCGTGTTTATTGTACTTATTCTTTTCACGTCCTTGTGGAGACGATACTCATACTAAAACTCTTTACTACTACATCTTTTTAAGTGCGAGAAAACTCACATTACAGTACTTTCTCATAAATTAACAATCCACTTTGCGAACACTACCAAATCTTCATATTCATGATTGCCATTCAGTGATTGCAACCTCATGCTCTTCGTCAAAAGTAATGCAATGCACTCATGCCAAATATATGAAGAATTAATTGTCGCTTTCACTATGTCTTATTTAGTAGCGTTTGTAATGATTGGTAATATTTGTCTAAAGTCTCATCTGAATACCACCGTTTTCCCTCCAAATCGTTTCTCGGAACTAAATGGAGTTGTAAATCTAAGGATGTCCCTAAAAGTTCTGTCTAAAGTTTCAAAACAACACATGCGCGTCATTGGTGCCTTGTCCCATATAACGACTTTGCATCGAATTATCAATTGCGCTAGTTGACCCCTTTGTGTGATGTTTCAGGTGGAGTTCTTAGTTGGATTGATTGGTATCTCAAAGCATGAATGAGTCGTCCGGCCACCGGGTAATAGTAAAGCTACAATGCCACTGGAAGCAACGTTAATAACAATTTCCCCTTTTGAACTTAAAGTAGCAGAAAATGCTTTCCACACAAACGTTGTTCCTTTACCTCTGCAACTATATAAAAAGAAAACTCTGCCTTCGTTTTCTTCAACGGATTGCATATTGGTTGTGTATACATGTTGTCGCTGATCATTTAGAGTGTCATTGAATTTTTAAGGGAATGTCATTAATAGATAGTCGTTGATCATGCTCTTCACAATGCACCACGATCATATTGCAATTCGTCTAATATTAGCCTATTTGAAGGAATGTCATTCATAGATAGTCCTTTAAACTCCTACCATTCCTTTATCATCATCATATCTTTATTCCAATCAATGCATAATTCTTAATTTCAGCTTCAATTAATATTAAATCTAAAATAAAGGATTGAAAAAAACCATTAGTATAAAAAAGATATATATAATATTATTCAAAGGAATTTGAATCATGAAAACCGTAGTCGTATTGCTTAGTACCAGGATGAAGTAAAACTCTTCTTTGTCTATGTAAAATGTCATCTAACATAAATGTCTAAAAACAAAGTTAATCATATTTTGAGAAACTCAACAATTTTGTTCATATGCTGATAATTTTCCCTAAAATCAATTACATATAAGTTTCACAAAAATATAAGGAGTATTAATCAACTCGAAACTTTACAACTGTTTGAATTAATGAGACAGAGGCTTAACATATGCGAGAATGGTGAAAATCGTCTGCGTGACAGAGAGAAGGAGAAGAACAATGGCAGCGAAGAAAGAGATGATGGACCAAGAGGAGTTAAAGTATCTGTTCTTGAGGGTGGCCCAATAAACGTCCCTACTGTTGTTATAGTACTGGTTGACCTGGCCAAACAGTTCCGACAAGCCAAAAACAAGATAGTACTTATCGATGTTCACGCCCTTAACTAGCTCATTCACAAATGTCGCCACCTCGCCTACCGTCCCTAAACTGTTCTCCATCACGTGGTGGTCGCAGAGAACCTCCACGTCCTTGTACGTGTCTATGAGGCGGTCCAGAAATATAGCGTACTCTGTCATCCCACTGATTCTCTCGTACCCAATGCATCGCTCGTACGCGACGCAGTTCCGCAAGAACGCCGCCATGAAGCCATCCAATTTGATCAGCGGCATCTTGATGGCCCCTCCCTCGAACCGGACGTCTAGGAAATTGTTCTCTCCATCGCGGCGTTGCAGCTTGATTCCGGCTACACGCAGCTTCGAGATGCAAGGGATCACGCGCGCGCGGGTCACTTGGAACGCCGGCCTGGTTCCGCCTCCACGCAGCCTCGAGGCGACGCGGCTCCATGATTTGCGCGGAGGAGATCCGGGCACGGGCAGCCGGCGGGTGAAATTCCACAGGAGAAAATCCAGTAAATGCCGCCACCGAAAGCTTTCGGACCTGTCCGAAGGAAATGGGAATGACGGCCCAGGAAGAAAGAACTCAAAGAAGTCGTAGATGAGAGTTGACCACGATACCCTGTCCATGGAGTTTCCGTCGTCCGGCAATTCGGTGAGGTCAAACAATTCCCGGAGCACGACAAAGGGTATTTGGTTCTCCACGCAGGTTAGGTCCTTGACGAGGCTCCAAAATGTCCAATCCACGGAGAATATTGGATCGCCCTCCTCAAAAGGAATCCGGCCAGCCGCTTTCCGGAAAAGTTCCACGATAAAGCAGCCGTCAACCACCAAAATCGCCACAAACTCGTGGCTTTGCAGAAGGATGGTCTCAGAATAGCAGTCTCTGGCTTCTTCTTCCAAACTTTTGACTTTGACGAAGTAGTCCTCCAGAGTCAACCCCATTGACTTGGTCCTCTCAAGCAACGTCGCCAAGCTCCGCCGCTTGTTCTCCTCCATCATCCGCAGCTCCTCCCTCCCGTGGTGGTACGGGCCGATTGACACCGTCGAGGGTTGATACCAGGCGTCGCCGGAGCCCTGGGGTATCCGGAAAATGCAGCACCGGTGACCCGCTTTTCTGAGACGACGTCGCGGCCAATCAGCCGATAGCTCTGTTTCCATCGCTTGGATGCGGTTTCTGTCTACTACATCCTCATCGTTCCTGATCTTTTCTCCTTCTGTAGAACTGCTGCTGCCGTCTGTGTTTGGGAATTCTGATTGGATCTCAATGGGTGCGTAATCCATGTAAAGTACTCCCTCCGTATCACATATATCTATATCTTCCCACTTCAAAAGTGGGTGAGATTAAGAATAGTGAAAGGGATATGAATTATTGAGGGTATGATGGGAAGATAGTGAAATAATGTGATGGAATGAAAGATAAATCCAAAAAAAGTAGGTGTAATAGTGTATTGTTTTTTAAATTATTGAGGGTATAATAGGAAGATTTAGAAATGGGAAGATATAAATGTTACATCTAAAAAAGGAAAGTGAGAAGATATGAATGTTACGGAGGGAGTAATTCAATTCAGCTCTTTGGTAGGTCGATTTGCGCGCAGTGAGAAATCATTCCAGGCCAGGCTGATTCATGCCTAGTATGCGTACGTTTCTTTGCAATTTTGTCCCCACAGACGGCATTATTGAGCTATAAGTTGATGCAATAATACATTTTGTCGGTCACTGACTTAGTGACTTACCAATGGAATTTAAAGAAATACACCATTTTTTTTCATGATTTTAGAGTATCTTTTTTACCACAACCCACTTGTCTAAGTGTTGAGATAACTTAATACGCTACCTAATTGTATCTACTTAGCTATTAAGTGATAAGAATGACAGGCTGTATATAACAAATTCTGTTAAAAGATAGTTAGTTATGATATTCTGTATATATAATAGCTAGCTCATTGTAAACACGGTTCATGAATAATAACCTTTCTTTCTCTCCAAGTTTATCGTCTCCTTCATCTTGCTGCCTAGACTCCTTTGTTGCAGGTCTCATGTAAGATTCAACAATGGAGAATACTTTGTACATGGTATCAGTCGCGTAAGGACAGCGATCCTGACAAATCTCATAAGCTTCCGCATAATCTTCTTCTCATATTTCCAAAAACATCATGCCTTCTTCAGAACAAAATTCACAGAATTACGAATTTCTGAATGATCCGCTTTATCTTTCTCCGTCAGATCAACCTAACTTGATCTTGATCAATACGAAATTGACTGATCAAAATTACATCTACTGGAAACGCGAAGCCTATCTCGCGCTAATTTCCAAGAACAAAGATGGTTTTGTTGATGGAACAGTCGAGAAACCTGACAAGAAGGACAAAACATATCATCAATGGATCAGATGCGACATTATTGTTACAAGCTGGTTGAAGAACTCGATTGAACAAAACATCAAAGATACTGTAAACTACATCTCATCTGCGAGAGATCTCTGGAAAGAGCTACATGAGAGGTATGGTCAAGCAAATGCTCTTGAAATATATCAACTCAGAAAAGATTTAAGTTCTATTTCTCAAGAAAACAAACCTCTGATTGAGTATTATGGCCAATTGAAACGAACTTGGGAGAGTATTGATACTTTAGATCCTATTCCTCTATGTACTTGTGGTGCTCTTAACAATTGCACATGTTCATTGTTAAAAAGACTTCTTGAAAGGGAAAACAATGGTAAACTCATACAATTGCTGATGGGACTTAATAGTGGCTATGAGAATGTTAAAACAAATGTTCTATCCATGGATCCTTTACCTCTTGTCAACAAAGCTCTAGGTCTATTACAGAAAATTGAGCGTCAAAAGCAGATTTCTGATGCTGTGGATGTTTTATCTGAAGCAAATGCGTATGCGGCTAAACAATCAGATTATAGACAAAATGATTGGAAGAAACCTAGGTACAGTTCTGAAAATGATTTAAGAAATTCAAAACAATGTTCCTATTGCCATCAAAAAGGACATATCCAAGAGGAATGCTATAAACTCCAAGACTGCTCGTATTGTGGCAAAAGAGGACATATCAAGGATATTTGCTTCACTTACAAGAGACATCAAGAGAATAATCAAATTTTTGGCCAAGGATATAAGCCTGGCAAAACTAATAACAATCCAAGGAATTCTGGGTTTAGAAGAGCTGCCACTACTAGAATATTTCTTATTTGCTGCTGCCTATTTGCTGCGGTTCTAATCCATGCGCAGCAAAAACCTTATATTTTCTATTTTTCAATTTTTTTTAATCCTTAATTGCTGCGGTTATTCGGAATACGCAGCAAATAATCCGAAAATTTTAAAGTATGTGCTGCGGTTAGAGGTGTACCGCAGCAAAAGGTCCTAAAGTTAATATCAATTGATGCGGGTGTATTTAAACCGTAGCTAAATAGTTAGAAAATTACCCCTGCGCTTACTAGAACGGCATAAAACTCCTCCCTCCTTCCCTAAAATCGGCCGCCCAAAACCTTGCCCCTTCGACGGCTTCCATGAGTTTCAACCTCGGCAAGCTCCGTTACGCCTCACACCCTCCACCGTCCTTAAAGAAGGCCTTCGTATCAACTCCAAAACTCTGAAAGTGAGGTATTCGTCCAACACATGCCCACTCCGTAGCTCTATTCAATTTCTAGGGTTAACTCTTGTTTTTTGGGTTTATTTTCTTTTGTGCTCTCACACCTTCGATTATGTTTGAGAGTTAGCGGATAGCTTTATCCCTAGAATTGATTGTTTTTGTTTTCTTTTCCTGATTGATTTGGTGGCTAGGGTTGTGGAAGAGGGTGGAGTGCGGACGAGGGCAAAGACTACATTAGGCTTCCTGTTACTAGGTTCTGAAGGAATAGAATGGTAAGTAGATATATTTTGATATAATTGGTTATCAAAAGGTTCATAGCTTCTGTATCTAGAAACAAATACTTCGTACCTTTTGACCTTTACAAGGTGCTCAAATTATATAGCAATTGATGTACTAGGAGTGCTTCTACGAAATGTAAATTGCTATAAATTGGTGCATATTTATCTTTAAGTTCGTTGTGTGAAGTCTAGAAGTTCTTTGCTCTTGTGGTTGATGACTTGACTCTGGCTTAACCTGGTGTCCCTCCACTTAAAGCTTGGTAAGTGTGGCATCTTAATACTCTTAAAGTTTAAAATGGAAGTATTAATAAATAAAATTAGTTGATTTGCTTAATAAAATCTGATTTACGCATCGAGCAAGCAGATACAAATCTGCAGCAGATGAATGATATGACTTTCAAGGAATTCTACACTCCGTAGCCAAGGATATAAGCCTGGCAAAACTAATAACAAATGCTGATGTTTTACAGTATGAAGAGGAAGAAGAACTTACTCCACTTGAAGAACCCTCTGATTACATGGAAGAAAGAAACACACGTCAGAAAAGCTTTGCCTCTTCTGATGATATACACCATCCTGAAATGGATTCACAAATGATGAAAGGTATTGTCAACAATGTTGTTCAGCAAGTCCTAAAGGTCATGACAGATCAGAATTCTTCAATCACAAAATTTCCTACTATGGCCTCTACTTCTTCAGCAAATTTTGCAGGTACAATCATTTGTCATAAAGCTTATTTAGGAGGTGTTTACTTCACTGCTAAAGTCACAGTTAGGTTAGTAAGACAGGTGAAGTAAACACGCACACTGCTTAAAAAGCCGCTTACTAACCGAAAGAGGTGCTTAAAGTGCCGCTTATTAAGCATACCACCCCCCATGTATTAATTAAGCGGCACTTTAAGCTTTTTCAGTTTCCGAATTTACCCCTTGCCCGTAACCTATTGTTATCCCTGTCCCACCTCGACCCCAACCCCACCCTACCCCGACCCCACCCTACCCTTACCCCACCTACCCCACCCTACATCGACCCCACCCTACCCTACCCTACCCCACCCCGACCCCACCCCCTACCTACCCCACCCCTACCCTACCTACCGACCCCCACCCTACCCTTACCCCACCCCACCCCACCTACCCTACCTACCCCACCCCTACCCTACCTAACCGACCCCCACCCTACCCTTACCCCACCCTACCTCGACCCCACCCTACCCCACCTACCCTACCCACCCCGACCCCACCCCTACCCCACCTAACCGACCCCCACCCTACCCTTACCCCACCTACCCCGACCCCACCCCTACCCTTACCCCTCGACCCCACCCTACCCCGACCCCACCCTACCTACCCGACCCCTACCCCTACCCTACGGGCCTATGGTGGCCTATGGGGTCGGGGGTAGGGTAGGGTGGGGACAGGTTAGGGTGGGGTCAGGTAGGTAGGGTAGGGGTAGGGGGTAGGGGTAGGCGGTGGGTGGGGTCGGGGTAAGGTAGGGTGGGTAAGGGGTTAGGGGTATGGGTACACATATTATATTATATACTTGTGTTCATGAATGTTTGTGTGTATATATATGTATAGGGTTATTTTGGACATTTTAATGTTAAGCGGTGTTTTAAACCGTTTGAAGTAAACACGGTCTTACAACATTGTTTATTTTATGCGCCGCTTATTAACACGGGTCTTAATAAGCACCGTTTAATAACCGGTGAAGTAAACATGTCCTTAGTTATAAATAAGAATGATCCTAGAGACTGGATTGTAGATACAGGTGCTTCAGATCACATGACTTCACAGGTTGATAGATTATATGATGTTAGAACTCTGTCAAAACCTATCTTAGTAGGTTTACCTGATGGCACAACTAAAACAGTGACTCAAATTGGAAAAATAAAGATCAATGGAGCTATTACCTTGACAAATGTTCTGATAGTTCCAGATTTTCAGCAAAACCTGTTATCTGTTGGAAGAATTGTTGAAACATCAAACATGTTTGTCATTTTTACACCTACTGATTGCATTTTCCAGGACCGTTCAAGTAATGAAGTGTTTGCTACAGCTCGCAGATCTGGTGACCTTTACTGGCTCAGACAGGTCTTTGGACTTGGTTCTATATCTGCCAAGATATCTACTCATAGTCAAGACAAGAATAGTTTAGAAATGAATAAATGTAGTAACATTTCTACTGTTTCCAATAATTCTTGTAATCATTCTAAGGAAGTTAGTTTGTTACATGCTAGACTAGGCCATACTTCTAGTGACAAATTGAGGCATATTCTGGGAACAAGTTCTCTTGCAATAAAGAACTTCTTTTGTGAAACATGTATTCTTGCTAAGCATCACATGTTATCATTCAATAAAAGTGTTTCTCATGCTTCCTGTATTTTCAAACTTGTGCATATGGATCTGTGGGGACCTTACAAAGTTACTGCCATCAATGGAGCCAAATATTTCCTCACAATTTTGGATGATCACTCTAGATGCACCTGGACATTCCTTATTCAGAACAAACAACAAGTGCCTTCTTTGATTAAAGATTTTATTGCATATGTTGAAAATCAGTTTTCAACTACTATCAAATTCATAAGAACAGATAATGGGACAGAATTCTTTCAACAACAATGTTCTGAATTCTTTAAAGCAAAAGGAATTGTTCACCAAAGAAGTGTAGCAGGAAGGCCCCAACAAAATGGCAGAGTAGAAAGAAAACACAGACATTTAGTTGAAACAGCCAGGGCATTAAAAATTCATTCTGGGGTGTCAGCAAAGTTCTGGGGAGATTGTATCCTAACTGCCACATACCTGATCAATAAAATGCCATCTACTGTGCTTAATTGGAAGACTCCATTTGAGATATTATTCAAAGAAAAACCTAACTATGATGAGCTCAGAGTCTTTGGCACATTATGTTATGCCAGTATGCCAAATACACACAGAGATAAGTTTTCTACAAAAGCAAGAAGATGCATCTTTATTGGTTATCCTTTTGGTCAGAAGGGATACAAGCTTTATGACTTAGATTCACATCAAATTTTGATAAGCAGAGATGTTGTGTTCAAAGAAGAAATATTTCCTTTTAAAAATACTTCATCCAGCCCAGATGACACACCTACAGACCACATGGTTGATCCTGTCTCATCTCAACAGATTGTTCATTCTACTACACAACCTACTAGTTCTCTCACAGAAAATGGATCTACATCACTGAACCAATCACAAACTGAAGATGCCTCAACCTATGGAATGTCAGGTTCTGACCAACCTGAAACTACCCTCAGAAAATCAACCAGGCAAAAACATCTTTCAGTAAAACTTCAAGGTTATCATTGTCCTATAAAATTACCAGCTCAACATTCTGCAACATCATCATCTTTTCATGCTCAACTTATCCAAGAATTGAAGGATTTTGATTCAGATTATGTGTCATCTTTGGAAAATGTGATAACTGAATTTGAACCTTATTCACATCAACAGGCAGCCACTGATGAAAGATGGAATCTAGCAATGCAAAAGGAGTTACAAGCCCTAGAAGATAATGGTACTTGGGAACTCACTTCTCTACCTCCAGGGAAAAAGACTATTGACTCTAAATGGATTTACAAGATTAAATTCAAACCAGATGGATCAGTTGACAGATTTAAAGCCAGGCTAGTTGCTAAGGGTTTTAGACAAGTCAAAGACAAGGATTACAAACACACTTTTTCACCAGTTGCTAAATTCACTACTGTCAGAACATTAATAGCTTTGGCAGCATACAAACAATGGTCACTTCACCAATTGGATATCAACAATGCTTTCCTACATGGTTTCATAGAAGAAGAAGTTTATATGACACCTCCCCAAGGATATACACAAGCTGCTTCTGGACAAGTTTGCAAACTGAAAAGATCACTATATGGTCTTAAACAAGCTTCAAGACAATGGAACATTGAAATCACCAAGTATCTTAAGAGTCTTGATTTTGTTCAGTCCAAACAAGATTATTCTCTATTCACTAGATATAGAGATCAGTCTCACACATTTCTGATCATTCTAATCTATGTTGATGATCTTCTAATTACTGGAAACTGTCCTCAAGAGATTCAAGAAATAAAGCAAGGACTAGACAATACCTTTACTATTAAAGATCTTGGTGAGGCCAGATATTTTTTGGGAATTGAAATTGCTAGAAACCAAACTGGTATTCTATTGAATCAAAGGAAATACATAATTGATATTCTCAAGGATCTGAAAATGGAAAATTGCCAGGAAACTGAATTTCCTTTACCCAGAGGTTTGAAGTTAAGTATTGATCAAGGTGATTTGTTAGATCAGCCTGAAGTTTATAGAAGGATTATTGGAAGACTGCTTTATCTTAATGTCACACGACCTGACATTTCATATTCAGTTCAACACCTAAGTCAATTCCTTTCTCAGCCTAGATTACCACATTTTCAAGCTGCTCTCCATGTTGTAAAATATCTAAAAGGCACTATCAATGTTGGCTTATTCTATCCTGCTGTTTCTACATTGACATTAACAGCATTCTCAGATGCTGACTGGGTGCAATGTCAATTTTCTTGTAGATCTCTTAGTGGTTATTGCATATTCTTGGGAGATTCTTTAGTCTCTTGGAAAACAAAGAAGCAGAAAACAGTAAGCAAAAGTACTGCAGAGTCTGAATACAGAAGCATGTCGTATACAACTAGTGAAATGGTTTGGTTACATGAGCTTCTTAAAGATCTCAGGGTTAGTGTACCATTACCTATTCCACTTCATTGTGATAACAAAGCAGCTCAATATATTGCAGCAAACCCTGTGTTTCATGAAAAAACCAAGCATTTAAAGATTGATTGTCATTATGTACGTGACAAGTTGCTCGAAGGATTTCTTACAACTCAACACATATCTTCACACATGCAGATTGCTGACATCATGACCAAACCACTGGGAGCACAACAACATAAAATACTTTCTTCCAAGCTTGGGCTTCAGTATTTCCCACCCTGAATCCAGCTTGAGGGGGGGATGTTGAGATAACTTAATACGCTACCTAATTGTATCTACTTAGCTATTAAGTGATAAGAATGACAGGCTGTATATAACAAATTCTGTTAAAAGATAGTTAGTTATGATATTCTGTATATATAATAGCTAGCTCATCAGTTGTAAACACGGTTCATGAATAATAACCTTTCTTTCTCTCCAAGTTTATCGTCTCCTTCATCTTGCTGCCTAGACTCCTTTGTTGCAGGTCTCATGTAAGATTCAACAATGGAGAATACTTTGTACACTAAGATTTTTCTTCCACCTATGGGTTTGCGTCATTTCGTTGCTCAGTGATTGGGTTGTGATTTGAAGGGGTTCCGATGGATCGAAGTGGGGATGAAGAATTTAGCATTGATGGTTGGCTTCTCGATTGGTTTTTCTGCTTTGGATCGTTCGTGATGATGATGCTCCAAGTTTACGCTATCTCACCACATGAACTTGTATATGATATAATTTGTGATGTCTAGATCTTGGATCTAATATATTAAAATAATTAACAAATCTTGCCTTCCAGTCCAATCGGTGAGCCTGTCTTCCATCCCCATTATGCATTCTCCATCTCAAAATAATAGGGTGTTTAAAAAAATAAATTAAATATAGACCAAAATATCTTATATATACCGAGTATATAGTTTACATGCTTTTCCTATTTCATTTTGACATTATATACCTGATTTATTACTTTTAGATGCAAAAGTATTTTACCATGTTTCGGTTAGTTAACATGCTTCAATTTTGAATATGAGTAGATCAGATGAAAATAGGTGATTTTTCTTAAAGCAAATAGTACTATGCAGAATAGATGAAAACAGCATTAATTAATTTTGAAGTCAAATTATTGTATCAACTAACGTTTCTTAGTCACTGTAGCAAAAATATTTCAAAAAAACTGTAGCAAAAGAATATGTCGATTAAAAAATACGAGGTAAGGGTCAATTGAGTACATGAACTTGTATGAGGTGAAGTAAAGAGTACACAATATTGCATTTGATCTTTTTAAGTACACAAATTTGAGTTTTTAGTGTAAATTGAGTACACCTGTTAGATTAACACGTTAATACGACTGAGTTGGCTAACAGAACGCTAATAGGTCGACTTTATGAAGGTCGAGCCAGCCCCCAGCCACATCATTGACTTATCCTTGATTAAAGTCAGTCCCCCGCAGGTTGACTTCTCCTTGGTCGATGCACCCCTGCTGACCGACGCCCCCCGCAGGTCGACCTCTGAAGTTCGATTTTCCCTTTTCGGACGACTTCGTGAAGGTCGGCGCCATAACCTTGGTCCATTACTCCTTCTTACTCAACATTCCGTTAGCCAACTCAGCTGTATTAATGTGTTAATTTAACGAATGTATTCAATTAACACTAAAAATCTGAGTTTGTGTACTTAAAAAGATCAAATACAATATAGTGTACTCTTTACTCCACCTCATACAAGTTGATGTACTCAATTGACACTTTCCTAAAAAAAACTAACGTTTAAGAAGGTTGACCTTTTATATTAATATTAATTAATTCTAAAATTGAATGATGAGAGAATTCCCTAAATAGGAGTAAAAACGTTTTGAAATTCCAAAAATATGAGTATCATGTTTTTTATTCTCTAGATAGGAGTAAATTTCTGCCAAGTTTGGACATTACAAGGCTTTAAACATGGCATTTTCTTCCAAACTTGGCAGATTACTCCTATTTAGGGAATAAAAAACACGATACTCCTATTTTGGAATTTTAAAACGTTTTTACTCTTATTTAGTACAATTTCTGTTGAATAGTTAATATTACCACCACAAATATATTTGCGATACGACACATATGCAAATAGTGACTAGTACTACGCATTATTCAGACCACAAAGGTCTTAACACATCCTAACACATTGATATTCATCTTGTCCCAATTAAACTAAAGATTACATTGATCCGAATTGAAACAAAAATAGCTTGTACTTCACCCAATTACACACTTACATGTTCTCTACTTATAACTCTATTAATTATTGAACTAGTCCATAAAATGTGACATTCATAAGAAATGGTTGGAATATTTTACTTAAAAGAATAAATCAGTGGACGACTAACTACCAGGAGGCTTAACATAAGCCAAAATGGCGTAAAGGGCCTGGACGATGGCGAGAACTAGAAGAACAAAAGCAGCCAAGGCAGAGATGAAGGACCAAGGGGAGTTAAAGTAGGTGTATTTGAAGCTGGCCCATTGAACGTGCCAACTGTTCCTGTAGTACTGGTTCACTTCATCAAACAATTGCGACAAGTAACATGTATCGATATCGAACATCACGTCCTTCCCTAGCCTATTAACAAAGGTAGCCACTTCTCCTTCCGTCCCGAAATAATTCTCGAAAATATTTGAATCACACAAATATTCCACGTCCTTGTACGTGTTTATGAGGCAGTCCAATAATGTGGCGTACGTTGTCACGTGATTGCCGCACGGCCCCGCGCGGCATTGCTCGTACGCCACACAGTTCTGCAAGAACGCAATCATGAAGTCGTCTATAGTGATCGGAGGCATCTCGATCGCTCCCCGCCGAAATCTGATAGCTAGGAAACTGTCTTCTTTTCCCGGCTTCAGCTTGATTCCGGCTCGGCGCAGCTTCGAGATGCAATGGATTACATGGCTCGGGGATTCCGATTTGATCACGCGGAGGTCTTCAAGAACAGGCGGGATGTAACTTGACCGGAGAAAATCGAGTAAATGTAGCCCTTCCACATTTTCGAGCTTATGTAAAATCTCATTAGGTCTTTGCAATGTGTGATTAAAGAAGGTGAGCGTCATCATGGACAAGGAACCCGACTTTTCGTCTGGCATTTTCGTAAGATCAAACAAGAGTTGGAGCACGAAAAAGGGTATTTGGTTCTCGAGGCGGATAAAGTCCCGGAGAAGACAAGGAAATATCCATGACATGGATATGAATGGATCCTCTTCCTCAAAGGGAATCACCCTTCCCATTTTGCGAAAGAGTTCAACAATGAAGCAACCATCAAGAACCAAAATCTCTACAAACTCATCGCTTTCGAGCGGGATAGCCTCAGAATAGCATTCTCTAGCTTTTCCTTCAACAGTCTTGACTGCCTGGAAGTAGTCCACCAAAGTCAAACCTTTCTTCTCCGTCGTCCTCTCCACCAATAACGCCAGAAACCTCCACTTGTGCTCCTCGATCATCTGCAGCTGCGGCTTCCCGTGGTGGTACGGGCCGATGGAGCATATGTGAGGTTGATACGACCGGATGTTGACGTCGACGAAGCTCTGGGGTGCCCGGAAAATGCAGCAACAGCTCCTGCCGGCGGACTTGCTGAGTAATCGCGGCGATTCCGAGAGCTTTTTTTGCATCAATTGGACGCGTTCTTCGTTGACTTGTGTATTGATGCTTACGATGGCTTCATCCCCATTCTCCTGCTCCCCGGAGTCTTTTCCTGCCATGTTTGGGTGTTCAGATTGGAGCTGAATATTCAAGATGTAGAATTAAAACGGGTTGGGGAAACTTCATGATATGATTCGTATTTCGTCCTTGTTTGTTGGATAAATTTAAGATCTTGATGTTGACTGAAGAAAGATAATTATGAAGTACGAACCTGGTCTGGCCTATATGTTTTTTGTTAAATGATATTTCGAGTAAATTCATTTTGGGTGACAATTTCGATACCCATTTAAAAAAAGTATTGTACCTATCATTCACATGATTGGTTCAAATCATTACGGAGTATATCATTTTTAATTTAGATTTATATAATTCAACTGCAACATTTTTATTGGTCCAAGTAGACAAATGTATGATACATTTTGGGTACCATAGAATCTACCTTCATTTGGATTTAATTTTGACCCTCCAATTGTTAGCTGTTAGTGTTCAAAATTTCTGATTTACTGTACCTTTGACTCTGAATTTACGAGATGAATTTTGTTGTTAACATGTCTGCTACTTTTGCTCTCTCGGTAGGTTACCTGATCAAATTAAAGGAGTGTTTGCCAGAGTTTTTAAAAAGTGCTTTTCAACTTTTAGTTTTAATAAAACTGAAAAGAGTGTTTTCAAATGACAGTTTCTGCTTAAATTAATCACTTAAAAACTACTCCCTCCGTCCCGAAAACAACTTCCCACTTTCCTTAAATGGATGTCCCAAAATTAACTTCACACTTCAATACTTTCCTTATTTGGCAAATTATCTACATAAAAAAAGTGATAAACAGTGCCAAATAGTGTTTAAACAGTGACAAACAGTGTTTAAATAGTGCCAAACAGTGTTTAAACAGTGCAAAACAGTGCATTCTACAGTAAAGTCAAATTTATTTCCTAAAAGTGTGTGAAAGTCCAACCGGGAAGTTGTTTTCGGGACGGAGGGAGTAAAAACTGGGAGCAGGTGGAAAGGTGCTTTAAACTGTTTTTCACTTTTTCTATTACACAAAAATCACTTATTTTACCAAACACTACCAACTTTTACTTTTTCAGAATCACTTTTTTCTCAAATATGTTACTATCAATTTTATTATTAAGTACTTTCTCCAAAATCACTTTAAAAAATTACTTTTTTGAAATACAAACAATCGCAAACACTCCCTAAGTTGTACTCCTTCCCTATCGCTCGTTGGAAAGAAACTCACCCAAAAAGTAGTACCAAAAATCTCTTACACTTTATAAATTAAAGTCTACAATAATTATTTTAAAGTAGGAGACAAAGCAAAGGGGACAACCAAAGTCATATGAAATGAGTACGTTGTATGTTTTTCTTAGGTCACAGAAAATGATAGTAAAATGTAATTTTAATGTGTATGCGAGACCACGATCGATGTTGGAGCAGCAGTCCATGGGAGGTAGAGATGTGCTGCGATGAATTGCAGAGCCGGCGACGAGAGTGATGCGATGAATTGTAGGGGCAGAGTTGTAGGCTTAATTGATTCAGGGGTAAAAGTGTAAACTTTAGTCCCATTTAGGGAATAATAAACTTAAAGTCCTATTGTGGAGTTTAGTCTCATTTAGGACAATTACTTATGTTTTTATGTCGCCATATGTTGATCAAATAGCACGATATGCTTATTGTCTTTGCACAAAATCTACTAGCTAAACTAATACTCCGTATTAAAGAGCATACACCTCACTCTCTCTAGCAATGTCTGATTCATGCATTATGAAATCCCATTCTCCTATAGTGTATCTGTATATGTTTAATAGTGTGGTGGTGGAGTAAACCTTGCATTTTCACACAACTCATTATATCTTCTTCAAAGTTTAATATTCTACCATTATCTTTCACTACTTGAACTTCTTGAAAGCTTAACCTTTATACTTCATCATAATATATACGGAGTATAACCCAAGTTCTACTTGAGTTAGAATGAATGTAACCAAGTGTCCCCTTAGTCTAGTGAACACCCCCTTCGAAAACTTGTTGCGATTATCAGATTATGTTTCCCAAATACACAATGCTTGCGGAATATTGTCCAAACCCTAGCATTATGTAAACTCTATGAAAATGAAAATGGAAGGACATCTCTATCTTTGAGTCCAACCCTCAGCTCTAGCAAAATTATATTGGACTGTGGCAGTTCTACTAAGGTGATGAGTTGAGAGAGAATCAAAAGCCTCTCTCAAAATTCTATTGCAAAAGAACTTATCCATG